CTTAGTAGCTTATACTCTCTGAGTACTCTTGTATAGTTTAGTATATATAGGTGTACAAGATCAGACTGGTCCTGTAGTCTTGATCTTGTCTACTCTAGGTAGTCCTGTACTCTTAGGCTTACTCTATATACTCTACTCTTGTCTCACTCTCTCTCTCTGCCTGTTCTGTAAGTTCTGACTATGTTCTAGTACTTGTGTTCTGTATTTCTGTTGTGTAGGATAGTTGTAGCCTAGGTCCCCTTACTAAGCCTTCAGGTCCCCTCTACACTATTACTAACATTAGATCAAGACTACCTATTACTACTCTACAACTCTCCTATGTTTTGAGCATTAGTACTTACTATTGTGTTGATCTCTTTTCTTTGTCCTAACCCTTTTACATTTTTAAATTTTAAACTTTTTAAACCCTTTTAAACTTTTGCCACCCTTCTTCTATTCATTACCCTTTTTAGTTTAGTGCCAATTCCTTTGTAGTGTAAACATGGACCCTCCTACACTAACTGTCACCCCTACTGTTCTATCAGATTAGTAGTTACAAGTAGAACTAGCTCAATATGTGTAAACCTTTATCTAAGAGGCCTTTACTAACCACATACTCTCAGCCCCTTTAGAACCTGTTCTAATTGTTTCAGAAGTTACAACCTGTTTCAGAAAGAAAGTGTATGTAGCCTACCCTTCAGACTTTAATAGGTAGCACTTTGAGGACTTCTAGCACCAAGTCAAACTATATGTAGTTATAGCTTTGACTAATCTATCCTTAGATCTTAATCACATTCTATTTGTCCTCTCCTTCATGAAGGAAGGCAACACAGCCACCTGGGCCTAGAACTGGATTGAAGGACATTAGATTGGAAGCCTGATCTGACTTTAGAACAACAAGTTATATTTAGAATTTATAAGGTAGCTCTGTACTTCCTTTATTAATCTGAATAAGAAGTATAATGTACAGAACAAGCTTGTGTCTCTACAACAGGGCAAATATTCTGCTAACACCTTCTTTCAGGAGTTTAATAATCTGGCTTGAAAGGCAGGATTTGTACTCAGGTTTAATAATGTCCTTATTAGAATGCTTGAAAAAGCTCTTTACCTGAAACTAGTTAATAAGATTCTTAGAATAATACTAGAACTGGTTACTTATACTGAGTAAAAGATACATACTATTTCCTTCAACCAAGCTGTAGCTTGAATACACTAAGTCTGTACAGAATGCTTACACATGTGTTTAGCTCTGACAGTTCTAAGCCCTCAGATTGATTTGCCTGTAATTCACAATTAATCTGTTCTGATAAACATTAGAGAAGCTTAAAAGTAAGGAGTATACTTTACTTACAGAAAGTCAGGGCACTAAATTAAGGACTGTCTACAGAAGTAACAGTATATCTGTCAGGTCATTAGAGTAATAATGAGTAACAAGTAGGATTTGTAGTAAGAAGCCTTTTCTACAAATCTAGAAGTCACCTTAGAACTCCTAGACCCTGACTATGTACTCTAGGATTTTATAGAGGCCTAACAGTAAATGTAGTACTGAAGAGTTATGACTTGGATTTTTTAATAACCACTTTTGATTCAATAGACACTGTAGAATTAGAAGTAAATAAAGTAAGAAAAGTAGAAAAAGTAGAAAAAGTAGAAAAAATAAATCAACAAAATTATTTATTAGAAAGAAAAAGGTTAAAAACAAAAGTAGATAGTTCTCCTATTTCTTCTGATTCTTTTGATTCTTCTCTTCACACTTTATCTGAGTCTAAATCTGTACAATCCAACCTACTACTTCTGTGTTCTAAGATCTTAGAATGTTCAGAACACTACCTAGCCCTGTTTACTACTTAGTAGTTTGTCTGTAGTATTAAGTAGGGATAGTCTTAGCTGAGTTTACAGCTAAGGACATGAGTCTGTCCTTGTTGAAAGAGAGAGGTTAATAAGGAAATGTTAGTGTATATACTTACCCTCTTAGACAATAAGGCTGTACAAGCTGTATGTTCCCTTCAGAACAAGTAGTAATTTATTAGAGAATGTTCTAAGTACTAGCTCTAGGTCCCTGTTCTCTTAGCTCCCTTCTTAGGATTCCCTCAGATCTGAACAATGGCTCTAGTAGACAGTAAATGTACTAGTTTATACATTAATAAGGCCTTTGTGTAGGAACACTACCTTCCTACTTAATGTGTTCT